TCTAGTTGTCAAACTTTCTCAATCACAAACTCCAATCTAGATTCTCTGTGATTGAGCGGGGCATGCCTGTCAGTGCTGAGCCAAGATGCCAACAAATCAGTGAGCGCTGCCAACGAACCCCGGTGAAACAAAACGTGAACCATCTGTGGCAGTGCGGCGTGTGAAATTCGGATTGGCCGGTTGACTGGCTGAAATTACAAAGCTCGGAATTTACTCAAGGCTACCAACTTCAAGCTACTTTGATCCCTGAAACTAGGGCCGTGGCTAGGAAACGAAGGATTGCTTGCAACATTTCAATGACATGACAAGCAACACAACATTGCATCACAGAGAGGAAATCCGCCCCGGAACAAGTCATCATCCTTGGTTGCTGAAGAACAGAACTAAACACTTACCTTCACAAACTCCCCAAGTGCAGTAACTCCACATGGATCCAGCGCCCAGCTCCAAGTAACACTGCCGATGGAATTGCCAAGCAGACATTACCCTCTTCACGCAACACAAGGCGATTGAAATCTGCCAAGTGCCTCGTCTACGACAAAAATGAGGTGAAACAAACAGAGCAAGAAAAGGCATCCCACTTTGCACGCACCCTGGACCCTGGATGTCAAATGTCAAATTATAAAAATGAGATGAGGGGTAGAAGTTCCACAAGTCCAATTTGACCGCCTTTTGCAACTTGGGGCTTGCAGCCCGCAGGAAACTGCAAAAGCAATGACATCACGGTCAAGGCCGAAAATTCTAATTTGCCCCACAAATACGACGGTGACAAGAAACCGCATTGACAGCGTCAGACATCAGCCTGGTAGGTCTCGAAAAAGACACCCTTGAAGGTTGGCGGAAAGGGTGTCTGGATGTCTGGGACCTCAGATGAGGTATGCGTTTAGATGCGGCTGCTACCCGTTTGGCTTCTAATAGCATCTGCTCGTCTGCGACGCTCAGCCTTCTCTAGCTGCGGCCCAGGCGCTTCCTCAAGAAGTACAAAGCGAGGCCTTTTTCGTCCTGGGCTTGCCACAACTTCGCTGGACCGACTTGCCCAAAACAACATCTTGGGGCCGTCAGTCATGCGCTTGCCTACAGCCCAAAGCTAAGCAACTGTAGACAGCTCGTCTCCGTCTTGTGGCCAACAAAAAGCTAGAGACAAATGGGAAAACGTAGCCTGCAAATCAAGAACAAGCGCCGTCCATCCTTGAAGCGCTACCACGCTACTTGCCTTTTTGGTGTGAGAAGGCTTGCGCCCAAATTGAACCAAAGAAATGCCAAGCTTCGAATATACCTGCTGATCATCAAGAAGGGCTTCGCGGACTCCTCGCTGAAAGGATTATAGTTGCGCTTCCTTCTCCAGTTCGAACTCAATCTGGAATACGGTTTGCAAGGAGGCCCTGCTGCAAACACGTCCTGACAGGGCGGAAACAAAAGGAGCGCTGCATGATTGTCAACTAGTGTGAGTCGTAGGCTTGTAGCGGTTCAGATGCAGAAGCAACTGCCTTTGAACAGGCCCAGGCAAGGTGGCACGCAGGCGTGCCCATGCTATTGTTTTTGGTTGGCAATGTCAAGAGACGACTAACGGCTTCTTTGCAGAACAGTTACGCAGTTGGTTACTCGGTTTCATCGTGTTTGTTGAAACCGGGGACCAATGGCAAAGCACAGGCGCAAGCAAATAAGCAACCAGCTGTAACCAGCTCACCAAGAAAGCTCAATACTAGTCAGTCAGTTTCCACTAGTGCCAGCCCCGCCTCTCGCTCGTTCAGGCCACACCCAGAAGGGTGCAGATGGCAGCGCGCCCCGGCCAGCTGGTCCTCCAACTCGCGGAAGTGATGCTTGACTCAGCTTGAAAGCGAACGCGAGGACAGCGTCGCCCCGATGTGCGGTCAACACAGCAATGGTCACGCCAACAAGCAACCAAGCAACCGCCCAAGACGCCCCGTCAGTCTTTCAACCAGCAAGCAAGCAATCAATCAATCAATCAATCAATCAACCAAGCAAACCGAACCAAACCAACTAACCAGCCGTCAATCAATGAATCAACCAACCCATCAATCAACCAACCGGTTGATCGATCAATCAACCAAGTAACCACAACCAATCAATGAAAGCAACGAATCAGCAAGCAAGCACCCAGTCAGTCAGTCAGTCAGTCAGGCAGGCAACCAACCAACCAACCAACCAACCAACCAACCAACCAACCAACCAACCAACCAACCAACCAAGCATCTGGGCCAATCAACAAATCCTGCAAGCAATCAATCGTTCCCTGCATCGACGAACCAGCTTGCCACCAATTGCTGAAAAAGTCAACCAGTTGGTCAATCAAGCGACCATTCAATGACATCCATCCACCCAGCAACATTACATCCATCCACCCGGTAACCAAGCAACCCCAAACCTAAGCGCAGTATTTGCGTCAAGACTTTAACACGGCCCAGCAAGATCCAATCGATCGACCTATCAACCAGTCAGTCAAACCAATCCGGCTTAAACCAACATTGAAGTCCACTCAAACCAAACCAGGGCCAGACCAATAAATCAACCAAAGCAAACAACCAGCAAATCAACCAGTCAACCAAGCAGTCAGCCAGCCAAACAACCAGTCAGTCAATCAATCAATCGATCGATCAATCAAAACAAAGCGCGCCAAGTCAAATCAGCCCAGCACTAACCGGCATTTACTTTGCGCACCGCCCTGCCCCTGCTCAATGCGAGCGAAGTGTCCGAGCCCCGCGTAGTTCCGCTTGATGAAGTCCGCCTTGAACTGCATCCTCTCACTGACGGACTCTGTCGCCACGTCCAAGTCCAGCAGCTGCGACATCTCCCGCCTTGGACATGGCATCTTCAAAGCTGGACACTGGTCAGAGTCATAGCAATGAGACGTGACTTGACACCAGAGCGTCTTGCAAAACACACACACACTCACGAAATGGAGCAGCTCTCGCTCTAGTGCCCTCGCCGCCCAAACCTACCCAAGCTACACCTGCAACAATGCAACTGGCACGGGCCAAACAATGTGCACCATCTGATCTGGGATGCCAAGGCCAAATCTCAGTGCCCTAATCCACCGAGCAAGCAAGGCAGAACACTTCACCGAGCACCTGTTGTGGAAGTGCAGAAAGCGTGTGACACTAAATGGCAATTGGGTAGTGCCAGGGCGCATAATGTACGTCGCTGGCGCCCCGCCAGCACAGCCTTCTGTGATCCGAATCCTTGGCTCAAAATACTGTGAACATCCTCATGGAGCGACGGGGACAAAAAAGTGCAGCGCAACCCCCCAAAACAATGGGAACCCAAGAAGGTTTGACACGTGTCTCCCCAGTTTGTGAAATGTTCCACTCATGACTTCTGACAAAAAATCATAATTCCGTTTCATGTTTAACAAATGTTTTATGTTGGGTAGAGCTCCCTGGACTGGGTTGTTTGTGCTTTAGCAAGTATTCTTGTTGCTCAGCTCAGCCTGGCCGCTGAGATCCGTAAAAGTTAAACATATACCGAGCCGACACCATGTAGTGTATGAGTACAACAGTACAACGACGGCCACGAAAGCGCCAGTTTTACTGAACACAAAATGCGGTCCAACATGACTCCCTGTGGCTCGAGCAGAGGGGCGGCGGCACCTTTCTGCCCCTGCACAAATCTGCCAGCCCCAGCTCCCTGCTGTAGATCTCCGGCCATTTAAAGTAGTCGGGCCATACGTCCAGGCCAGATGAGACGTCTGCTTGCCCACATTCTGGCTCATCCGGCCTCAGCCGGATCTATGCCAAACAAGCTACACTTGAGCAAACACCTCCAAAACTGCTTTTCAAAAACAATCAGGAGTCCAGGAGTTCAAACCTACCAGGTGGCTGCGAAACAGCCAATGGCCTGAAATTTGAATCATATGCTTTGAGTCAGTTCAACAGGTTTGAGATGCTGCAGCATCCAAATCCTTTCTAATAAAGCTACCTGATCTGAGTGAGTGGTGCTCACACACACCCACCCACCCACCCACCCACCCACCCACGCACGCACGCACGCACCCACCCACACACACACACACCACACACACACACACACAGACACACACACACACACACCCACGCACGCCCGCCCGCCCGCACGCACACACTGCACATGCACAAACCGTTGGAGACCTGATGACAGGCTGCCAATGGCCACCAGCCCTGAAGCCTGACAATGGAATGTACTGAAAAAACAGGCCATGATACCAACGCAGGAAACAGGCCACACAGCCACACATCTGCCAAGAAGCCCGAGCGAAACATCTGGCAGAAGCCAGGATGGAGACAGTGTCTCTGTTGGTGACAGCTCCGACTCCGACATGGCAGGCCACCCAGGTGCTCAAACCAATTGACCAAATCAAATCTGCAACTATTGAGGGGCTGCCTGACATGCAATGTCCCCTATCTCCTCCTGCAATGCGGGCAATCTTGCTTGAGCAGCTTTGGCCGAACCCTGCAATGGAAGACAGGCTCTAGGCAGCCTAGCTGCTGGCAACTCAACCCTCCCCTGATCTGTAAATAGCTCCATATGGCGTCCCACAAGCAATTCTGGAAATAGTTCTAAATGGCGCCCCGCAATCTGCAAATAGTTCCAAGTGGCGTCCCACAATCTGTAAATAGTTCTGTGATGACATTTCCATCAAAATACCCACAATTCGGCAAACAGTTCCAAATAGCGCCCCACTGTTTGTAAATAGTTCTGAATAGCGCCCCGCAGTGTGGAAATAGTTCTGAATAGCGCCCCCACCCACAATGTGTAAATAGTTCTGAATAGCGCCCCACAACTTGTGAATAGTTCTCAATGGTCCCCCACAATTTTGTAAATGGTTCTGAATGGTCCCCCACAATTTTGTGAATAGTTCCCTTCAAAAAACAGAAAGCCAAAATAAACAAGCCGATGGTGTCCCCAATATATATATATATATATATCAAACTCAATAGCTTTGACCCCCAGAAGTCAAAATCTTGGAACCAAAAAACGCGTCCCGAGTCCAACGGGGCCCACACGCCAGGCACACCACCAGCCGGCGTCCTTCCGCCACCGCCGCAGTTCCGCGCGCCCTGACCCGGTCACCCACGAGGTTCAGGCGGGGAAACTTCCAGCGCAGAATGAAGCGCTGCGTGTGTTTGTTTGTTTGATCAAAGCCATGGATTAGACTCTAAAACCTTTGCATTTCCAGTTCGCGGGAGGGTGCGTTTTTTGTTGGCTGGCCAAACCATGCCAAATCGGCTCACGCGCCCCCTGACCCCCTCTTCTCTAGGCAACCGGGGACTTTCTAGCAAAGCAGTGGCTCACAAATGAACACTTGCCTGCAGGCGTTTCGTCATGCCGTGGGGGAGCAATGGCTGGAAATCAACCCCATCCCAACTGACAAGTGGGTACCTTACGGGGGGAAAAAAATATATTCCTTGCCCGCAGGTGTCTCCTGTCAGAGGGCTGCATTTACCGCCTCTTTAGCTGCAAGGGCATTGGCCTGGATGCTGACAAGCTCAGACTCGAATTGGAATCAACCTGACACTAGGGCGCCACAAACCAAAAAAAAAGCTATCCACTACGAATTCCAAATGCATCCTACCGAATTCATTGCACCACTCAAGCAAAACCGCCCCAGATCGGCACTGAAGCTGGTTTAAAAACAGGTTCACCAGATTCTGGTCTACAAAGAACTGAGGAAACCATGGTAGAAAAAGACTGAACACTGCATAAAATAACTAAAAAACTTAAACATGGGGGGTATTGCCTCAACATTATGGGGTGTAACGCTCCTTTTTCAAGGGCAGTTTGAGGGTCCAGGTGCCTGTAGCCCACTAAAAGTCATCAGAACCAAGACACCCCAGCAGAAACCAACCGTGAAGAAACCAAACTCCTAGCTCCCCCAGCTGTGCCCTTTCACCATTTCTTTTTTGGGGAAGGGTTCCCCTACTAAAATAGACTACAGAAAAAAAAGGGGTACCCTTATTCTGACCTCTCTACTGGAGGACCTAGAAACCAACAAAAAACAACTTCTCAACTTGCCTCCACAAAAAAAAAAAAAAAAACGCAACAACTTGCCAACCGCGAAGAAGCGGCTACCCTTCGCGCTTCGCCCCAAAAAAACTCGCGAACTGCCGCTTTCGTCCGCCTGTGAGGGCCAGCAGCAGCCCTCCAGGCTGGGACCGGCTCAGGGCCTCGTAGCTGCCGCAAAGCTTCGCGAGCCTGAGCTGAGCTCCCCGGTGCGTTGTATGCGTCTTAGACCCGTCCTCTTTGGGTTTCCTGTCACTTCCAATTTCAGTCAAAAAGACATCCAAAGTGGGTATCCTGGTTTCAGGGTTCCATCAAAAACACATCCAAAGTACATATCCCGGTTTCAGGGTCCCAAAGAAAGGCACGTCTCCCGGGTCCCCATTTGGGCAACGCGGTTTCCGGGTTCCAAAGGTCTGCGCAGGGACGTAAACCAAATGGGCACCTGGTCCCTAGTTCTGAAAATATTTAGCCAAGTTTAGTGAATGTTGTGAATGTCTAGTCGAGTTCAGTGATATTTTAGTCAAGTGCTGGGGCATCCTGTAGTCAAGTTTTGGTGAATCTCCAAATGCAACACGATGCCTGAACTCTGGCCGCAGCTCTTTTCCATCCACGGGCTCTTCAACCGAAAACAACTGACTCTCAGTCTGTACTCAGCATAAAGCGCTGGCCAATTTCCCACCAAAAAAAAAGCCCAGCCCTTTCGCAACCAAAGGATGGGGAAGAAAGCCATGCGGTGGATTCGAGGACAAGGAGACCAGCAGACATGTACACCCAGCAGGCGGTCAGCCCAGTCTGGAAAGCCAAGCTCGGGAGCAACATGCATCAATCACTTGCACTGTCGTGACTGCTACCCCACTGGCCTGGGCATCTGAGGTCTGGGCAGGATTTTTTTTTTTCGATCTGCTGTAAGGGATGTAAAGGGAAGCTTTGCAAAGGCCTTAGGATTCAAGTGTTGCTAAAGTATGGGGGGATTGTTAAAGCGAAGCACCTCCAGCTTCTGACTTGCAGGACGAATGACCCTAGGTGCAAGCAAACAAGAGCATCGACTTTGTCAAATGAGTTGTGTCGCCAGGGCACGCCTTCTCCAGCAGCATCACCTCTGGAGAAACCGCCCGAGACTTGGAGCAAAACCGGTGATGTGTCGCTTGGCACTCGTTAATCCAACCTGAAAAGGGGTACCCTTATAAAACGCACACACCCACACACACATTCAGCTTGGGTGTGTGTGCAGGTTTGCATGGCTCAGCGATTGTCTGGAGAGGAACACATGCAAACATCAAAGTGGCCCTGAAGGTGTCTTAGCAAGCTGGATTCCTCGCAGTCTTTGACGGTGGCTTGAAGGGGTTCACAGGCTACCGAGTGGCTGTCTACCCTACATGGGACCCATCGAAACTGCATGCCCTTGAACCAAAACGTGACGCCAGAACCACACAATGCACAATTCTTAAGCCGGCTGAACCTTGCTTGGAATGCAAGCGTTTCACTACCGTGTGGGTACTATTTCCTGATGTCACATCGTCGAACACATAGCCGTTCCCTATACCCACCTCAAAACCAAAACGATGTCGGTGTTCAACAAAGGGATATGGATGACAAAATCAAAGAACTGGCCATCCCCCTGTCCTTTGGGAGCAAAACAATCATGAAATATAAGTGGTATCTGTTTTGGCTATTGTGTTTGGTCGGGTGATGTCCGCCTCATCCATTTCCTTCCCATTCGAAGGGAGCCATTTGAGAGTGGTACCACTTAAATACCACCCGAGCCTTTTTCATCCCCACAAGCCTCGGCACGCAACGAGAAGCCAAGAAGGTCCCATGAGGCACGAAAGAAGGATTTCCGGGTTTCCTCCTCTGGCGGTCGTGCCTGGAGGGACTGAGGGGGAGGGTTGGGAATGGGGGGGTTGGGATCAAACTGGATGAGCCTCGATTTGCAGGCTAAGGCTACTTCTCGCACAGCATCATTTGCGAGATCAAGTAGCACGAGGCGTTGCTGCTTCATTTAAACCCCCAGCCAGACTTGGTTCTTCCAAATGGGGAATCCACAATCGCAACGCTAAACCGAAGTGAGACACCACTACAACAAGTGAAACCAGCACCATCTGGCGAAGGCACTAAGGATTCATTTGTTTTTCTTAAATGGGGAACCCACAAATGGCTGGCTTTCTTCTTGGCTCCCAATTGAAGCAAAGCCAAAAAAGGGGGGAGTCCCCCCCAAAAAAAAACGACCCCCCCCCCCCCCGTCTGCCCCGGCAAAGTTGCCCACAAGGGATGGAAGGCCCCCCCGGCCCAGGGCTGCTCGTCCAGCACTGGCATGTACTCGTCCACCTTTCGATGGGCGCGCCGGCGGAATGTGCAAAGGGGGAACCCTTTCATGGTTGAAACTCCCAAGCCTTGGGTATCACCATCCAAGAAATTAAACCCCAAGCCTTGGGTATTTTTAATGGGCGTTGAAGGGAAACCAATTTGGGTCCCCCTCACCATCCAAGTAAACCCCAAGCCTTGGGTATTTTTCATGGCCACCAGGAGCATTTGCCGGTAAGTTGTCGCTACCCGCCCGCATGTTGCCATTAGGAAGGATGACTGGTTCCAAAGGGCTCTCTGAGAGGTAATTCGGGGGGGGGAAAACTCTGAACTCCTGACGGGTGACGGGCAACCAAGCTGGTCTTTGACCCAGCCGCTCGCAGGATGAGCTAGCCGCCATGGATCTGACAATGTTGACCTTGGATTGATCAATCTAGTTGCACCCCCCGAAATTCCACGTGGGGTTCCCGGCAAATATGTCTGACCGTGGTTCAAAAAATTATCAACCCTAAAAATAATTGGTTTTGGAGGAGACCCAAGTGCCGGGGGTTTCTTCATCCAAGTTCTCAGAAGCCTGGCTTATTCCGAGAACCCCACACACTCACTGCAGCAAGTGCCTCAAAGTGAGGGCTGCTCCCAAGACCGGGATTGGAAGGGTCCAATGCAAAATGGGCCCTGCAGCCTGCAAAATAAAAACCAACGCCACAAACCTTCTTTGCACCAACCATGCCAAATGTCTGCCTGGCTTCGTCATCTTTTAGAGGTTCTGCCGCGAAAAAGAAGCCGAAAAAGGAAGTTGAAGAGTGTCTTTGCCTTTTTTAGCTTGGTATTCAAAGTTGTCATCGTTGTGGCCGGGAACAGTCGGTCTATTGGCCCCTCGGTTCAAAGCACCTGGCACCCGACGAAAACCCGTCGCCTTGATCTGGCGCCAGCGCCGTTGCCAGGGGTCGAAGAGTTGTGCCCAGTAGAGGCCCCGCTCATTGACGCTGAGGCTCCGGGACATGAGGCCCTACGCGACCCAGCAGGGTTCGAACCCAAAGCCGATGGTTGTCCGTGTCATTGATTGCCCACACAAACGGGGATTCCAACATGGGGATTCCAACATGGGGATTCCAACATGGGGATTCCAACATAGGTAGTTTCCTTTTCATCCCTTTCAACCCTCAAGAAGCTCGCAGTTCAACTGGGCTTGGTAGAACCTAACTTATCTATGGTGTATACCCCCTCCTCACCCCCCCCGACCAGCACCAAGGCCAACTCACCGCATGGCGCCTCAAGGAACTCCGGGTACTCCCGCACTGCCGCGAGCACGGCGCGGGTGATGGTGACCTCCGACGCGTCGCAAGAGCCGAGCCCCGCCTGAGACATCCGACTTGCGCGGCCAGGGCCCTGGACCCATCTCCATTTGCCTGAGCCCCCGTAGGGGAAAAAAATAATAATACTGTGGATGGACAAAATCCTGCACCACCTATATAAGAAATGGGACGGGGGGGGTGCAAAAACGGGGCCGACCAAAGTGGCGAACCATACCCGTAAGGGACCCCACCAAGGCCATGTTTGGCCCTTTTCGGCCTTCCTGTTGGAGGCAGAGTGCTCAGCGAGTGGTTGGGAAGTGTGGAAAAACAGTAGAAGACTTATAGCAAGTGCAGGCGGATAACCAGGGTTGCTAGCGACTTGCTGAGCACCCTCAAGAACCCATTTATTAGAACCCATTTACTTCCATTTGCTAATCACTACCGGACACGGTACCCTTTGGTCCACCAACAAGGAACCTACCAGCGGGCCCCTTTAAAAGGCCAGGACCCACCTGTCAGGTTCCATGCTAATGGGTGGCAGGGCATACTGAAATCCTGCACCAAAAACGCCCCCCACCCCAACGCCCCCCCGTCCGAGGCGCGAAGTCCGCTGTGGTGGGCTCTGTGGACCTCGTGAAGAGCGGCGCGCGGGCGCCCAGCTGCGCCAAAGGCGCGCCAAGGCGCCAGACCGGCCTGGCCACCGAAAAGAGGGGGAGGGAAGTTTTGGGAGGGGGGGGAGGGGGTGAGACCCACTGCCGGGGGTACCGTATCAGAAGGGAACAAGTACCTGGCGGCAGTAGAGAATGCATGTGGTGGTGGAGGGGGGGAGGGCAGGGAGGGGAGGCGGAGGGGGGGGGGGGCTTGCAGCGAGGACCCCTAACTCCCGACCGCCGGGAAGCAACAGCTTGATTCATCCGGGCTCGACATCAAACATGCCCCAACTCTCATCAAGAGGCTCTTGACGCTCCATCTTTGGCCCTGCGAAACCATCGGCATCCCCGCCTCTCGCTTTCAAGCGGCACGTCACCCAACAGGGACACGGCTGCAGGGGGGAACTCGTAATCCACGGTGCGTGAGGCCTTGCAGAAAGGATAGTTCGTTGGACAAGCAAACAACCCAAGGTTACCTGTGAACCCCGTGTCATCCCACACGCCATCTTGGACACTCGGCATGCAGGACCCCTCTTGACTCTTTGATGTGTTCATTGTTCATTGGCCTTCCTCAGAAACATGCAAGAAGTTACATCACACATGCTATGGGGATTGTGAATTCCAATCTGGGTGTTGAGTTCCAATTGGGCGCCGGATCAAGGGCGTGCAAATCCAAAAGGACACGATCTGGAGAAATCTTGGGCGCGCTGTTCTGGAAACAAGTTTGTAGATGAAAACAACAACTTTGGGACCAAATCGCAATTCACCATCTGTCATTCGGGAAGGAACGTAATTATCACAGTGGGGAGCGGGGACGTGCTATCCGCCGTTCTCAACGGCAAACGCAACTCGGAAAGTTGTTCACGTCTGTGCGTTTCCCAACAATGGCGAGGTGAGAGAGCTCATCTAGTTTGGAACAATCTGGAACCGAATAGCAGGGGTGCGCTGCGACATCCTACCTAGAAAGAACAAAAACAAGACAGAGAAAGAGAGATAAACACAAGAACAGGAACACCCCACAAGGACAATAATAATAAAAGACAAAGAAGCATAGAAGTCAAAACCAGAAAACAGAAAAACAACAAGACAAAAGGCAACGGAAAACAAACAAAACAGCTGAACTAGAAAGAAGCAAACAAAGAAATGAAGAAAAACATAAAGAAAGAAATAAAGAAAGATAGCTTTGAGTGATAAAATAGGCCAGGCGAGGCCCAGGCCAGGTCAAATATTTGCCAAACAAGCCAGCACAAGGAAGACGGCCACAGCAGCAGAAGCAGCAAAGAACCATCTGGATGCGGCAATACATCTGTTGGATTTGCTCGTGGGCGCAAAGGATGTTGCACTGCAAGAGCTTTGCAACGCTAGCATTTTACGATGTGCTGGCGGAACATGCTGCGGGCGCCGAGGCCGACTCAACATCCAAAAAGCTGATGCAACTTAGCCCTAGCACTAGGTAGGCAATGTCCATCTGGGGTGTCCTGAAAATTCCTCCTCCGCCCAACATGTTCCTTGGCGGGCAGCTAGGATGTGCATGCAGCCGCCATACTCGCGGTTGGGGTCGGCGGCCTCATTAGGCAAGCTGAGGGGCTCGAGGAAGATCAAGTGGTCGAACTGGAAGTGGCCTCGAATCAGCTGGGTGGACAAACTCCACGCCACTCACAAAAAGGTAGGTGGTGTATCCCAGTTGGTTTTTGTCCTGACCTCTTGGTCCTACCCAGACGGATATTTTGGCTTCCCAGAGGGCTCACCAAATAAGCGGGTGGTAGAACAGCTTCCTTGGTTTCAAGTAAGGGGTCAAAGCCCAGAGCCACAACTCGACAGCATTAATTCGCAGTGCCGTGGGCACCGTAAAGTTCTCTAGTGGGTGCCATGGACACCTGGACATCATATTTTAAGCCCCGGAAAGACGATTTTCGATTTCACCTGACATACGTTGCACTATAGACCCCTTCAGTCCCCCCTCCACAACCCCCCCCCAAAAAGAAAAAAGGGGGGGGGGGAAGAAACAAGAGGAAGCAACCCGCAGGTCTCCAGTACGGTACGGGTGGGGTGGGGGGTGCCCCGCACCCCACCTGCGCCGCTGAGGTCCGCCGCCCAGGACACGAATCCCCGCAGCGCGGGGAACGCCGCGTCCGGCTCCGTGCCAGCTGCCTGGCGACTCAGATTCGGAGTGGCGCGTCGGATTCGCGGCTTCGGGGGGCAGAAGCGGCGGCGGAACCGGTGCATGCGATGTCGCTTCTGTTCCTGTTTGTTTTGTTTTTTTTGCACAGGGAATCCCAAATGTATGGTGGGGGTGAAAATAGGCTTTGCTTGGGAATGGCCGTTTCTGGGGTCGTTCTCCTTTTGTGGAACCCTGCATTTGAGGGTTCAAAGAGCTGTGGAGACCCAGTTGCAAGCGACCGACCAAAACGAGTTGGAAGCCAGTTTGGTCTACTCCAGAAGTGGGCACACACCAAACGGGGAACTGAACTGGGGTTCGATCAGTTCGCGTTGGGATCGGCCGGTGCGAAGCAAAGGGTTGCCAAGCCGGCAAAAGGCCCGCTGGTCTGGAGCAGCTTCCTGGGACCTTGGCTCGAGGGGTGGACGCTTTTCAGGGTGCCTTTGAGATGCCCTTTGACCTTCTCCAAAACTGGATTCCCGAGTTTGAGGCACAGCCAATATTGACACCTGGCATATCCCTCAATGGAACCCGACGGGGGGCTTAGGCGATTCTTTCGAGGGCCAATGGCTGCGGGAGTATGGCCATCTCCCAAGTCTGCCGACCCCCCCACCCCCCCCCCAAAGAAAAAACAATTGGGCAACATAGTGCATTACTGGGCAAGACTGACGCACCAGCTGGTTTACCCCAGTTCGCGCTCGTGAATTTGGTAGCCCTGCCTGATACATGAGCACCGGGGGTGCGGCGCTGCCCGGCTTGGCCGGATCCTTGATGCAGGCTCCCAGCTCAGTGCCCACACACCACCTCGCGTGCGGGAGAGAGAGCTCAAAACCCTTTCGGGTTAGCTTAGGGAAACAACGGCAGCACAGTGGTTTTTGGAGCACATGCCCAACACCCCCCACAAAGTTAAAATGGTTTGAATGCAAGCAGTGACCCTTGCAGGGAAGGGAGACCTTATTGAAAACTGCAACTAGTTGCAGCCAGTGACAGCGGCACCAAGGAAACCAAACCCCGGATTAATCATGGAAAGCTTACTTCTAGCGCCAAACACGTGCGGGGGATTCCTGTCATTTCTCGTGGGGCGAGATTCCGCGAATCTCAGACAAAGGAACGACTTTTCGGGGTTGACCAGCAGCGGGAGGCCCAGCAGCGGGAGGCCCAGCAAACATGAGAAAAAAAAGAGGGTGCTACATGGCATGGGCAAAGTCACGAGGCACCCTCCCACAGCTGCCATGCTTAATGCCATGCAGTCAGAAGGTTAACCCATACACCTAACTCAAGGAATCTTGGGGAAAGGAACCTTCACGGGTAAGGTCGCCATCGCCTTTTCAGAGTCACATCCGTGCAGCGGCGATTCAGCTTGTTTCTTACTGAGTCCGCTTTCAGCGTCTTCCAACTTAGAACATGTGGAGATATGTGGAGTCATGCTCTGCAAAAGGAAGACATGCGTACACATACGGTCACGTACAGCATGTTAGAGTATAGTCATTCTGCATCAGGCACGCGAAAGACTAAGGCTACGGTCTTGTGACTAAGGACTAAGGACCGCGTGTTTCTTCTTGTTGTCTGAATGCGGTATTGCGCAGCACTCAGAACACATACTCCAGATCAAGTTGCAGCCCTGAATCAGGTCCTTACACGTCTCCTTCAACCCACCCCAAGCAAACTCATTTTGACATGGCTGGAATGTTATTCGATGGTTAAGCCTCCAAGAACAGACCAAGACATGCAGCAGCTCGTCAACCCTGCACTGGCCACTTCAAGGCTGCTCAGCTGGGTATGAATCAAAATTAAACCACCGGGGAACTGCAGAATTTAGTCATGTGTTTCCATTTACCAGGGTTCTATGTTGGGTACCTAATTATTTTAAACCCACACCCAGTTGTAGCAACCGCTCCAGCCAATTTGTCTGGGAGACAAACCGCCCGAGGCACTTCCGATCCGCCAGTGAGAAGTACAGGAATGCTTCCTCGCCCTCCTGCCTTCGGTTCTTCAGGCGATCAGGGGCTGACCGAAAATTGTCTGACTTCCGAATTTGCCCAAACGAATGACCAAACTTTTGGATTGCCACAAAAACGGTCCAAACCCAAAACGAAAGAGAGTCTAGGAACTCAGGGACTGAGGCCTGTGGATGAATGGCCATTTTGGACCCTAAGCCCTCTTCCCACATGGAACTTGACTGGGGCTCTCTTGAAGACCATGTTCCTCTAAAGGGCAACTTCTGGTGGTTCCATGATGTTAGCGGGTGAGAGGACAATGGGGCTCACACAACTCATCTTTGCAAGGGGGTCAAGCAGCCAGGGTCGTGGCACATGGCTATTTGTTATCCTACCACTACTTTCTCATGGCAGTCACCTTTCGACTCATGGATCGTGGCCTGAATCCAATGTTTCACATACATTTGGGGAAAAGGACACCTCTCTTTTTGGGTGGCTGACTTTGGAGGGAAGCTCCTCGAAGGATGCCTCGCAGATTTAATGGAACCCAGCCATTTATTGGAGCCACCTCCTTTTAAGGGAAGCCTTTTTGGGCTTCAGATTAATTTGCAAGGTGTGGACAACATATGGGTATGGGTCAAAATCAAACCACCAGGGACCGCAGGGTTTAGTCCATGTGTCCATTTACCAGTCCATGTTGGGTACCTATTTTTGACCCACTGCCATATGGGTTCAAAATGTTAAAGCGTTGGGGGGGGGGGTCGTTTTTGATTCCATGAGCAAAAACCAACAGCGACGCCCGTCAACATCGTCCACGTGTCCATCCACGGTTGGCCTTTGAGCCCCCAAACGTTTCATGCAGCTTCTGTCATCCCCAACAACTGGCTGGCCAGATGCTACAAACATAGCGCTGAGAATCCGGTTCTTGGAACCCATGAAACGGCCGGATCCTCGGATCCCTCCGATGAACTTTCACTCTGCAAAGGGGTAAAGCAATCGTTTGTCAAGCAAGGCCAGGTGGCACCACCGGCAAACCGGTAAACCCCCCCCCCAACCCCGGACCGCGGAACCCTGGCGGGACCAAGACTCAAAGCTTCCAGCTGGAGGAAAAAACCGTGCGACCCGCAGAAACTTGGTTGCTGCTGGTTGACCCCTCTGGCAAGAGTGCTTCACTTTTTGCGGGTCCAATGGGAAATCCTCGCTTTCCCAAAAAGTCAACTAGGTCTTCCAGTAGAGAGGTTAGAATAAGGGTACCCTTTTTTCCGTAGTCTATTGTAGGGGAACCATCCCCCCAAGAAAGAAACGGTAAAGGGGCACAACGAAACAAAGACAAGGTGGGGGCCACTGAACTGAGCTGCGCTGGGTCCCTTTGGTAGGTCGCGCGGCCGTAGAGGTTTTTGGTCCTCTTGTAGCCTCAAAACTCGGCACATTCTTGCGGTGCCCGACGTGGGGTCTCCGATGTCAGTGCAACAAGTGGTGTGCTTCGTATGAAACAGGGCCTGCACATACTAGTGTTCGTTGATGTACCCACAACTAGGCAGTTCCCCATCAGCACGACGTCTAAAAAAGGGCCCCCCCGACCACACATACGCAGACTTGATGTCACGGTTTCAACTCTTTGCAGAGGAAGTAACACTTCAAGCAACAACTGAAGCACGAATTCGATCCCCCGTAAAATCAAGGGCTGGAGAGTCCACGCGGCAGCGAGAGGACAATAATCAATCAACCGGGCCTCAAGTTTTAACGTTGGGTTGGCGATTTCTCTGACAGTTTTTTTTTGTGCGGGTGACATGTGCGGGAGGGTAAGTTGTGTCGACGGCACTAATTTTGGTTTGAGGCCCGGTTTGAAGGTGGCCCATGGGTTGCCATTTAATCTGGCGGCTCAAAACCCCAAACCGATCCAAACGGCCAGGTCATGGCATGGCAACACATGGCAACCTGATTCGCAGCAAAGGGAATTTGGATGAATTTGGGTTGGGCGTTCTTAGTGTGGAGCCCGCGAACAACATGGGAGAACGGGTGCCACTGATCAACTTGAGTTAACCCAAAGGGCCCATCTCTTGTCGATTCGTAAGGGTTGCTCCGCAAAGAGATCCGGCGGAACCTCTCCAACCCCACCAAATTGAACAGTGACATGCATACCCCTACTCAAGCAGAAGATCCCAAAGGCAAAGTATGAAAGATCGGTATTCAGAAGTATTTGGCTAATTTCAATATATAGGAACTCCGTTGCTGGGCATAAACCCCCACCGAAATGATGTCCGCCAAAGGGTGCCCAACCAAAAACTCCTCCTTCCCCACCTTTCCCTTGGCCAAGGCTACCCCACTGGGCCGATTTGTGATGCTTCTCTTCTCTACTTTCGGGCAGGGACCTGTTAGGAGCCACCTGGAATCTCCCCGTCACCCCGGTGAGCTTAGAAACAAGCAGGCAAACTCTGCAGGAAGCTACAACTTCAGTTTTGGCCGGAATACGCGGCTAGCTTCCTGTAAACAAAATCCTGGCACTGGTTTCTTCTTGGCGGGTTCTGGGCGCGCAACCCCCATAGACCCGCGTGAGGTGGCCCTCGTAGAAGTCGGGGCCGGACAAAATCACCGCGTGCGGCGCGGCCATGGCTCAGCCATGGCCGCTGCATCCGTTGCAAGAGGCCTAGCCTAAGCGGCCTAGCGCATTTCGTCAGTTGAGTCAACTTGGGTGCTCTAGATCCCCCAGAAAAAAGTTTAACTTTTGCTGGTTGAAAGGAAATATAAGGGAAATCCAAAAGTTAAAGTCTAAAGATCCAACCCAAGAGCAGTAGAGTGATTCAAAACGCGGTCTCTTACAAGGTCTAACCAGAACCATGCAAAGAATTACCTAAACGGCCGCACCCATTTCTGGCTGGGATTGCCCTCCAATTAGCTGGGGTTTGGTTATGACTCCTTGTGGGTTCCCCCACTTGTGGCCCGTTGCTGTGTCATGCTTGGGGCTTTGTCATCCAGGTGGCATTGCCTCGTCATGTGCCGCAACATGTGCATGCAAACAGACAGACTGACAGACAAACAAACAAGCAAACTCATAGTATTAGTAGTAGTAGTAGTAGTAGTAGTAGTAGTAGTAGTAGTAGTAGTAGTAGTAATAGTAGTAGTAGTAATAGATGTAGTAGTAGTAGCAGCAGCAGTGGTGGTGGTGGTGGTGGTGGTGGCAACTCCTGGGTTAGTACAGCGGGTTCCGCGAACCACCCCCCGGTTGTACGAAGTTAGCGGCAAGGCCGCGAGCCCACCCGCCAATGCGCTACCCCCCTTCGTTTCCACCTGACATACGTAAGCAGACATAAGCAGACACAACATACAGAAGCATTTCTATGTTCACAACAGGCGTCATTGGGCCAGATCAAATATGACGTCACAGATTGGCAGGTTGCGACTAAAGACAAGTTCCGCCCATGATGCCAGCTCCTTTCTTTGGTTGGTCTCTTTGCAGTTGGCGAGTAGTTTGCCTCAACGCTTTACTCCCACCTTGGCGATTAGAACCGAGTGACCAGGCCCGCGGGATGCTGCAAACGGCAACATGGAGATCTCCGGTGGCCATACCCCATTTGGTAAAAGGGCCCCCCTCCAAGATCCTTTGCTTCAGAATGAATGGTTTAAACAAAAAACAAAAACAAAACAAAAAACACTCCGGGTCGTTCTCCTGTCAGAATCTGTGAGCTTGAGGGATCCGCAACATGAGACCCTGGCCCTTGCACAGGTTCCATGCTGGGCTCTTGCCAAGCCTAGAGAAGCATGTGCCGCCCCCTTGCTGCAAGGAATCGAACCCAAAGGTTTCACCTGGACAAGGCACTTTCGCGCAGCGCCTGGACAAGGCAGTTTGGCAAAAAGTGAATCCACAACTCACTGAGGAAAAACAAATACGTGCCAGAAGCACGGTGATTCTTACAAGGGCCGCCCCAAAATAATTGGCAAACCGTGATTTCTAGCATGGCCCACATGCATTTAGGCAACGGGCCCGGGGCCGAGCGCTCTCAAGCGGTCCTTCACGTAGAACTTCTCAACGGAACCAGATTCAAAGGCCTCCTGGCGCAACTTGGTCGAGGAGGGATTTGGATCTCACAAAACATCAAGGGACCCGGGTCCCCAGTGCGGAAACCAGCGTTCAAGGACGCAATTCTGGAAATACCAAGTGATGGGCTAGGCCTAAAAAACCAAGAAGTACACATCTAGCCAAGCGCTTGTACTCACAGCTCAAGGTGCACAACCCCCTGGTTGATTTTTCAACTGGAGGGCGCCGCATTTGAGAGAGAGAGGTCCTCCGCTTTGGGACTTCGGGGACTTCGGGTCCCTATCCGCCAGGTCGATTGGCCATGGGTCAAAAGCCAAATCGGCTAGCCCCCTGTGACCATCCCAATCCAACCACTAAAATAGGAAGCCTAAAATGGGTGGTGAATTCACCTACCAACCAAAATGGGACCCCATTGGTTCTGACCCACAGCCGATTCATCCGCCAGGTTGGGACTTTTGGGGAACCCCGGTGAATCCGCAGTCGGCACTATCTCAGCTTCTACCCTCCCACCTGTTTGGCACATCGGGCAGGTAACCCCGAATCGGTGGTTTGGAGTGGCGGACCGGGGCTTTGAACCCCTGACGTTTGTAGTAGTTAAATGAAGATCCCAGCTCAGGAATCGCAAGAGCAGCCTTTTCCGGCCGCGGAAAGCTGCTTGCGAAGAAAGCCGCTCGAAAAGAGCGCTTCGCACTCCCCCCGGGCCACGGCCTGGTCGTAGCGAATCTCCGGGCACGCGTTCACGATGAGATAGTTGCTGGCCAAGCGGTCCGAGGGGCCAAATGTAGAAATGTAGGCAACCACGTGCCGCTGGAGCAAGTACCCCTAAATCTTACACATACCCTCGCCAACAGGGGCATTGTTTATGGGGTGGGCGTCCGTATGTTTATATGGGGTGGTTTTCTCTATGCTCATGGTAGAGGCAGCCTGGCAGGGTAGAAAGAACACCTGCAAAGGATGGAAACCAAAGAAAGGCAAAGCCTACTACAAGGGTCTAATATGAAAAGAATCGAAGGGTACTTTGAAAACAGCTTTAGCCATGGAAAAAAAGAAGGAAACACACAAAAACGCATGCCATCATATACAGCAGCCCTTGTGGCTTGGCCAACGTTCAACCAGTTCCTGACCAAACTCCAGTAGCTGAGGTTTCCTAGCTCCGTAACAGCTGCCTTACCACCAGCTAGGAGCAAAATGTCTTTCTGCCCTAAAACAGCTACCCTCCCATCCGCTGAACCCACCAGAGCCTCCCTGTTAGTGGAAAATGGTCTTCCACCCCTTCGAGTCAGGTTCCAGGCCAATGGGAGGGTAGTCGCACCCCCGAACTGCTGCTTTTTGGAGAGTGCTTGGGATTTTGGACATGGGAAGAAGCAGTGGTTTGGGGGGAGGGGGGGAGCGGCGGGTAGGGGCAACATGCTTTTCAAAGGCTGTTTTGAAATCTGAGAATTGCACTCCGTGTGGAACGTCTCAAAGAAGCGGACCACTTCGGACAGCGGGTTGCGGTAGAGCTGCATCCTCAGTGCTTCACTGGGTGTTCAATAGGGAGTCAGGACGAACATATGCTTTCTATGTGCCTTGTTTCCTTATCTTTGAAAAATATAATAATACATTGAACGCTAATTATGTGCTAGCCACACCCAGGTACGGTATCACCAAATACACTCCCACCCACGTTGCAGGGGAAGCCACCAGAAGGTTTTAGGAAAATGGTTCTCGTGGGAGGGGGGACTTGCTAACGATCATTTCCCTCAACAAGTGGCTCTTTACATCACCTCAAGCAGGCTATGTTTGTCCCCTGGCCCCCCCCACAAAAGTGCTTTCCTTCAGAACCAACCTCAAAGGGGACATTCCCCAAACACACCCAGCTGCTCCAACTGAAGCCAGGTTGTGTGCTCAACAAGGCGCAACCAGTGACCAGTTCGGCCCGCAAAACTCCAGAGGGCCCCAGGCCAAAACCTTTAGAATACGGGGTTTCCCCAAATTGGTTCTTTGAGTGTCCCTTGGAAACAAATCCAAAAAGGCGCTCCCTCAAGAATGAAACGCCCACACGGCAAGACAGGATGTCTGGGTCATTTGCAAAGCTCGGGCACGTCGACTTGTCCTGCCCCGGGTGGTGGACATAAATACCACTGGGTTTTTGTTGTGCCGAAAAGGTATCCTGTACCGGCTCATTTTGGAAGACGAATCCCCCCCCCCCGAGCAGATTAACATGGAACCCCAAGAACCCTCACTGAGGACCCTTGCCGGGGTGGGCCTCTTTGGGCATCCATGTCAAGTCGCAGAGGAGTAAAAGCAACAAACATACTGAAAACAACGAAGACACAACTGTCACGTTTTTTTCTCAAAGTACAGCGGAATGATTGGACCACAGGCGCTACAAATGGCCTCGGCTCCAAAGACGCCCTTTTTGCCAACGGTTCGAACGGACTTTCGGGCCAAGAGATACGGGCACCCCCGCAAACAGCCGGCTGCTGGCACGCTCATGCTGATCAGCCTCGGCCTGTGGCTGAAGAACCCAAGACAGTTCTTAAGTAGCCCATTTATTTGCCTGGGCTCTGAAGACTGCCAGGCCAAAAAAACATAAACAGTTTGGCAAATCAAGAGGGAACCTTCCAGATACCATCGGGATGAACATGGTTGAGGAAAACCATCCTTGTGATACCGATCTGGGATTTCCATCTCCATGCATAATTGACATGTTCCCCGGTATCACAAAAGGCCGTGGAAAAAAAACACATTTTCCGCAACTGGAAGGACCCCTGGTTCACCTGTTTGTCCCTAACGTGGGAACCCAAGCCGAAGGGTGCCGCCGATCAATCCAGCTTGGAGTTGAGCCTCTTGTGTCAACATCTCTTTGCTTAATGCGACAAAAGGGGCAAAATGTTCCCGGAGGCTCGGAAGGAACCGCAACAGGGGTGAAACTGAGAACCGGGACAGGTGATTGAGGGTGAATTTGAGCCCGAGAGTATATAATCTCTACGGATCACTTCCCCACTGGGTGCCTGACTTGAGGATGTATTAGAGCCCGAGAGACGTCTCTTGGATCACTTACCCACTGGCAACTCCAGCGTGCCTGAGTTTGCTTCCCGTGAGACCTGCCTTTGCAACCCTTTTCCCATGGCCCCGAAGAACCGGATCTTGAAGCCGTTCCGCGGCGGCAACCTGCACCTGGCCACTTTTGGAGCGGCAACCCCCCAACCAAAAAGCCGCAACTCACTGGCTCAATGGGGCCAGAAAGGGGTAAGCTGACGTGCCCGGCGTAATGTACACCAAGTCCAGGTCGAAGTCGTGCTCCAGCGACACGAAGCGCCGCTTGTTCTCTCCGGTGACGCGCCGCCTAAAGGCGAGGCAAGCCTACCTCTCGCTGCCCGGAAAAAGGAAAGCTGGAGTTCCGGAAAGGCAGGCGGGGAAAGGGGAAGCCAACCAAACCAAAGCAGGTGGTGGGTACCCATTTGCTCTTTCGCCCCCTGGAAAAGCTAAACAAAAGTCCAGTATTGATGGAATCCCCTTAAAGCCAACATCGGCCAACCGGGGACAATAACAAATATTCTTAAGCAAATGGAAGGTAAAGCTTGGGATTTCTCCAACCCTTTGTTCAAGTTGATGGCTGAAAGAAGGCGCACCAGGCACAAATGAGCCATCGAGGTGAGCTTGCAACGTGCCGGACGGCAGTTTCCGAACTCGTTTCAGTCACAGAGCTTGTCAAAAATGAGGCGCACACGTTGCCTTGGGTCTGAACCTGTTTGTTTTCCCGCTAGGCCATGGGAACAGTCGTGGGTCCCCTGTTCCGAAGGAAATCTCATGAGTTGGGATGGCCTGAACCTTGTGCTGGGAGGCTCTGGGGAGTCAGCCTTTCGCCCTGAGGCGCTGACAGGCGCTTGCCTCGGAATCCACGGGGTTTGGTCTTGACCTCCGTCTGATTTGTTGCTTGAGTTTGTTTTGGGTAGCCCCAGGGGAATTCGCTTTCGAACAGCATGTGACGCGGGTTGATCCCCTCAACCGTGTGGAAGAAGAAGTGGAGCCAGCAAACAGGCAAACTATGCTCTAGGAGACCTTTTTGGCCCCTGTGGACTCTGATCCCTGGAGAAGAAGTGCCTTTCCCATGTGCTCAAAAAAGTCCAAACAATCGGTGGAATCCACCGTTGGGGCATCTGAAATGTCTTGATAGTCAGATTCCCCCCCCTCCTTCAGGGATCGGCTACAAAACAAGCAAGCAGAATACCCTGGCCCCGATCCACTAAAAGTCAACCCAATCTCTGCGCCCTTTGGAATCCCCTGGAAACATACGGCGGGCAAATGGTAATAAATTATTGGAACCGCTCGGGTGTCTCTTTTTTGAGGAAACCCTTTGGTTGGGGAACCAAACGAAAACCAGTTCTCTAGGGGGTGCACCAGGAGAAGACACACCCACACTGAAACCTGAAAGCAGTTCCAGCTTGCACTTTTCACCTATCACACCCCGACATGGAATCTTTTAGAGGGCATCGGGTCGGTTTTCCCTCCAAAATATCAGCTTTCCGTGGGGTGATGGAGGTCCGTCCAACCATCAACAAAAAGACAGCGCTGACACCCAGTCACCGCAAAAACTGACTTTGGACCATTTTTAGCGGTTAAGCCACTCGTATCCAACTGTTTGATCAGCCTCTGAGTGGGGGCGGGCGTCAAAACTGTGCCAAGTGGAGGGCCCAAATGTGTGAACGCCTGTCGGAGTTTTGCAAGCGGTTGGCGTGATGCGCATTGCTGTTGACAGCACCCCGGGCTTTGACACACCCACATTGAAGTGACCTCTGCCAACCTATTTTGGCTCCTTTTCCTGTTCAACCGTGTGACAGAATCAAACCTACTGAAGGAGTACAACCAAAGCCATGTCAAGAGCGGTCGCACTTGTGTATGGCTGGGACAGTTTCGACAGTTTCCTACCAATCTTCAACTCTGGGGCCGCCCAAAAATGATAGATTGTTGCGTTCCGCGTTGATCTTACAAAGGAGCACCCGGGCGTTGATTGCTCTCCGCCCATCTCGCACGAGGCGAGAGCAGCAGCGTGGCAGCGTGTGGCTCATGAACAGCGCGATGCGAATGATGCGCAGCACCCTGAAAGTGGGATTGAACTCCACCATGGTGGTTTTCGGCGTTGCCCTGTACTCCCCCCCCCCGGAGAAACTTAAAGCCTTAGTGAGATTGCTTTACCCAAAAAGGGGTAAAAAACAACTGTCCATCGTCTCAGTGAGGGGTAAAAAATAACTGCCCAAACATGACTTGTTGATTCTCAGCAGGGAATGAGGGAATGACCCCTATAAACCGTCTCTTGTGGTTTTCTTTAATGGGACCCCTGGGTTCATTCCCAACACCTTGGATCCTTTCCTAGTGAGCACCAGCACGATGAGCTCAGCAAGACCCATGCGCCCAGAAACCAAACAAAACAAAACGCCGCAAACTGAACCCCACACACACGCATCAAGTACTACAGCAAGCGCAGCAGTAGCCAGGACGCTTCCTGGGGCATCCCAATTTTCGGGAGATTCTTGAATGTCGACCCCGGCATAATAAAACTCGTGGAGTTTGCAAATTGCGTTTTCCACAAACAGTGAAGGACTCCGTTTTCAATGCGAGCTGCCTATGACTCAACCAGGGGTTTATCAGTCCTGAGACTGAGATGGCTGACCAGCCGAGACTGTGACACGTTTCGGGCAGTGGCCCAAAAATGAGAGAATAGACCAAACACAGAAGCATGCAAAAACAAACGACCAAACCAGCGTTGCTACTCGAGGACAACAAAGGCCAACCATGGCATTGGCCAAATCCCCCCGGCCTGAAGGCACGCAGCAAGCGCAGATATCTCAAGGGGCCTCGGCTCCGGAACCAACTCTCTTAACACCAAGCAATTCAATACAGGGGTTCCCCGCAAAAAAACAAAAAAAAACACAAGCTTTAGCCCTGGCAAATACTTACACAGCAGCCAGCTTGAAACCTGAAGCTTAGCTACATGCCTGGTCATGTTCTCCGAGTACCATATGCTGCGCCGGAGCTCCGGCGCAGCATGGGAGGCCGGGAGTCCTTCACCAAGGGACGCGTTCAACAGGGATCCTTACATTAGACTGAACATTGCCTCGTAAATGTGGTTTCTCCCTTTACTTTGGTGTGGAAAAACCAGTTTTCAAATGGTGGCAAAATGTATGATTAAGGAGCCCTGTTGAAGAAAGAGGGTCCTAAAAGAAACGGGCAAAACACCTGCAGCCAATGAATGAATCGGGCACAGCATTCCTTACGGTTCCACAGGTTCCATGCTGCTCGGCCAGGCCGGACGCTGATTCTAAGAACAAGCTGACTTGTGCTGGCCCATAGCTGATAAAAATCCCAAACAAATAGCAGTAATAAGGTCGAAGTCTCCGGCACGCTGGAGGTTCAAAACAAAACGAAGAAGCAGACAAGACAGAATGCACACGAAATCTGAAAAGACACAAATCAAAGCCAAACAAAACAAACAAACAAACAAACAAACAAACAAATACAAAAAGACAGACAGACAGACAGACAGACAGACAGACAGACAGACAGACAGACAAACAGACAGACAGACAGACAGACAGACAGACAGACAGACAGACAGACAAACAAACGAATGAACGAACGAACGAACACACAAGCAAACCAAACAAACAAAGAAACAAGGAAACAACCAATCAAAGAAAACAAAACAAAACAAAACAAACAAACACACAAACAAACAAACAAAAACACAAACACGCAAACACACAAACACAAACACAAACACAAACACAAACACACACACACACACACACAAAAAAAAAAAAAAACACAAAAACACAAAAGCACACAAAACCCAAACACCCAAAAACACAAACAAAAAAACAAAAACAAAAACAAAAACACACAAACACACAAACACACAACACACAAACCCACAAACCCACAAACCCACAAACCCACAAACACACAAACCCACAAACCCACAAACCCACAAACCCACAAACCCACAAACACACAAACACACAAACACACAAACACACAAACACACACACACCCACAAACACACAAACCACAAACACACAAACACACAAACACACACAACACACACACCACAAACCACACAAACCACAAACACACAAACACACAAACACACAAACACACAAACACACAAACACACAAACACACAAACACACAAACCACACAAACCCACAAAACACCACCACACCACACAAACACACACACACAAACACACAAACACACAAACACACAAACACACAAACACACAAACACACAAACACACAAACACACAAACACACAAACACACAAACACACAAACACACAAACACACACTAACACACAAACACACCCACACAAACACACAAACACACAAACACACAAACACACAAACACACAAACACACAAACACACAAACACACAAACACACAAACACACAAACACACAAACACACAAACACACAAACACACAAACACACAAACACACAAACACACAAACACACAAACACACAAACACACAAACACACAAACACACAAACACACAAACACACAAACACACAAACACACAAACACACAAACACACAAACACACAAACACACAAACACACAAACACACAAACACACACACACAAACACAAACACAAACCACAAACACAAACACACAAACACACAAACACACAAACACACAAACACACAAACACACAAACACACAAACACACAAACACACAAACACACAAACACACAAACACACAAACACACAAACACACAAACACACAAACACACACACACAAACACACAAACACACAAACACACACAACACACAAACACACAAACACACAAACACACAAACACACAAACACACAAACACACAAACACACCACACAACACCACACAAACACACAAACACACAAACACACAAACACACAAACACACACACACAAACACACAAACACACAAACACACAAACACACAAACACACAAACACACAAACACACAAACACACAAACACACAAACACACAAACACACAAACACACAAACCAAACAAACCAAACAAACCAAACAAACCAAGCAACCACCTGATGGCCCCCGGCTGGTCACCCCCGCAGACTCCGTGACCGTGGCCACCGCGTGCAAGGCGGTAAAGGCGACGATCAGGGCATCCAGCCTGGGCACGAGAGAGGGAACACCCAACCCCAAAGCCAGGGGTACATTCGGGGCTCCCATGGCCAAAACCCGGGGAATAATGATTAAACCTTTTGGGGGGTTGCAGGTGGCTGAGTGCCTCCACCAGGCATTCTTTCTGTTTTTTGCGGACCCCTACCACATGGACACACACGAGCAGGGACGGCGGAGTAGGTTTATGAGCAACGGTTCCATGCGTAAGCCCCGATGAACAAGTGGTAGCTCTGTATGACAAATGTCTGAAGGAAGCCTCGGCCAACACGGGGTGCTCAACTGGGTTCTGTCTGCAAAGGACACCTCCAAACGGCTGGGTTCCGCACTTGTTTTTTTGTTAAACAAAAAAGTCAAGCATCCCCCAGGGACGGCGACATGGGCAGCCGGGCACGTTGGGCCACTTGGCAAAGAAGACCTGCGCCGGGCCAGTCCGCCCGGAACTGGGCTTCGTGCCGTTTATGGAGGCTGACGGGAAGTTCCTTTGGTCCGGGCACTCCATACGTGTCCTTCTGGAAAAATAGATGGGTTCCCCTGGTAAATGGGTAATCAAACCCATCTAAACCAGTGGAACCCATCTATTCTTATAACCAAACTCACCTAAAAAGAACACCTATGGGAAGCTCCTTGCCCACTTCCATGTAAGGGCAACAAAAGTTCACAGCCCTGAGGTCGGGGATCGAAGCGACGCTCAAGTTCCTCGCCGCAAGGATCGATCCGCTCTTGGGTGATTTCTTCTGTTGGGCTTCTACTCTACATCGCGCGGCTTCAAACCTAAGGAGCAGGTGCACTCGGCTGCCTCTTTTCTTAGGCCGCAAAGTTCGGTCAGCTGCCTACCTTTTGCCCACACCTTGGCACCGAAGCCGTAGACTCGCAGCAGTACGTCTGCCAGGTACACCAGCGACCTAAGCAAAGCTTTGGTTCGCAGCCCTTCTCTTATTTGTGTTGTTTCTCCACAAGAATTGGGAGACTAAGCCACTTGATTCATACTTCTTGTGGTTTTTGTTTGGGAGGCTGGGTGCCCGCAAGGGTCCGGGGGTTGAAAGAAGGGCCCGCAAGTGACTGGATGTCGAAGGGGCCGGCTCAAAGATGAGAGCTCAGCCTGTGCAAAGACGGAACTTCATAGATTCATGGGACGCTTTCACCTTTCCCTTGTTTCTGTCGCGCTTCCCCTTCCTTGCGACCCCTTTTCTTTGACCCTCAAACCAAGCGAGGAAAACGGCGCGACTCTGCTCGGTGCCCTGCAAGAAGCCAATCCTCAGCGCCTCCGTCGCTAAGGCAGTGTGCGCGGGCACGCTTGCAACAGCGTAGTGGAGCAAATCAGAATTTCAAGCGATCCCAGTAAGCCAGCCCTTGGTGTCCAGCCAAGTCCCCTTTCAACTCGGGGAAATGTCAATCGCGCTAAGAAAGCTGTAGCTGGAAAAAGGGAGAAGGAACCCCTGAAAACTTGGTACAAGGCAATTGACAAAAACCGAGTTCCGAAAAGGCTCAATGTGATGCGGCTTTGAGTAGCGCCTTGTGCTTTGAAAGGATGCGCCCTGAACTGGCCCAATATGCTTCAAGTCAAACCCTTCCGCGTAAAGCAGCTTCTCTTTGTCGTTGCCTAGGCTATAAGAATCAGCTAAAACATCAGTTTCTGACTTTGATCAGCCATAGAGACAGGCCGCACCAAGCATTTTGCAGCATTGGCCAATGGGTTTGGCTCAACAGGCGCAGGATGTTTGGTCTGCGTCCACGGTTTCAGGTCAGCTCCCCTTCCTTGAGACATCAGGTCTGACTTTGAACAGGGGCATCAAAATCAGGAAAGCCATTTTCCGATTCAGATGAATCAAGAAGCAAATAGACCAGGGATACACCTGAACATTGCCTTGTAAACGGCGGTTTCCCTTTATTTTGTTGGAGAAAGCCATGTTTCAAATGGGCAAAATGTATCTTTTAAGGAGCCCTGTAGACCCAAAACCGTGAGGCGACTTCCAAGTTTCGGACCCGGCCATGAAAACCGAGGCCCGAGAGGGGCCGCCGATCCCAACCGGGCTGCCCAGCGTGGATCATCGAGGGCTCCGTGCTGGCCCACAAGGCCTCGAGCCCCGCCGAGGCCACGTGGCTGACCAAAGTGGCCGCGTCCAACGCCTGCGAAAGAAATGGACACGGCCCGGAGGTCGACCCCGGGCCCCGGAATGTGGCCGTTGTCAGCACCGTTTTGGGATCCCATTTTGGTTGTGGTAGGTGAATTCACCACCCATAGGCTTCCTATTTTGGTGGTTGGATTGGGGTGTTCACCGGGGGTACGATTTGGGTTTTGACCCATAGCTTTGTTGAGCCACAGCAAGCGGATGGGACACGCATGAGAAAAATAGTGAGCAGCCACAGGGCTGTGGAAAGGAGGCCCCACACCTGTCCGAGGTGGGGTATGGTGACATCTCCCCTGCTTGTTCTGCCCTTGCCAAAAGCAAGCCGCTTCCTTCACTGTAATATTAACTGCTTGGTTTTGTTGTGTGTGTGTGTGTTTGTTTTTTTGAGGCATGTGCATTGAAAGCTTATACTTTTGGGCCAAGGCGGGGACAGCACCCCAGTTAAAAATCCAATAGCCTTCTGGTGGAGAGTGAGGGGTTGCAGAGCAAACACGACCTGCTCCGTTTTTGAGAGAGGGGTGTTGCATAGTTCAGGGTCGTCGTGGGCTCGGGGCTCAACGGTGAGTGTCAAGTTGAGGGGATGGCTGGTCGGTGGTATCACAGGCAGTTTTGAGCTTGAGAAGCTTGACTCAGCGAACATGTTCGACTCCTAACATGTCTCAGCCAGTCTAAACCACTGATTTGGCAAAGCCCATCAGCAGAGCTTTCTTGGGGGCACGTCCAACGTGAAGGTAGGTTTACTCATCCGCTCCCGTTGCCCCGTCAACCTTTGGCCAGGAGGTACTATGGGCTGGTCTAAGTTGAGATTAGTGTGCTTAGAGTTATGTTGATAAGGGTCTTGACTTGGTATTGGGTTAGTTTGGCATCGGTTTAGGCTGGACTTAAAGAAAGCTGGATTGGTTTGAGAGCTAGTCAAGAGTATTAGATGCGCCCAAAGCCGACCTGTTCTATAACCTGTTGGTTTCCCTGCTCCATATTTGGAGGTTCCAAAGGTTGATCTTTGAGCTCCCGTCTCGGCAAGTGACCAGGGAAGCAGCTGCATTTTGGGCTGGGAACGGCCCCCAAAATAGGAAACTCAGGAATGCACGGCTTCCGCGTGCTGTTTGCTTGATCATATTTTATATTTTTTCCCTGTTGGTTTTAAAGGGGGTCGGCACATATTGCCTCTGGTTTTCAGGGGGGCGACAACCGCAAATGGAAGAAAGGCATTAGGTGCCAATTCTAGGGATGGTGCGAGAGGACAGGCTTGGACGTTTCCGGGGCTGAAGGCATCAGTCAGCATGGAGGAATCTGCACGTCTGGGGAAGGCGGCCAGGATTCCACTGTTTGACTACCCCCACAATAACTTTAACCCAGGGGTGGGGCATGTGCCCCAAGAAAGGGAACCCCTGGGTTTAAGTCTATTTGCAGGTGGGCAAATAAAATGAACCCTGAAGGCAGGGGCCCCCTTCCGCGCGAGGCCCTGCCCCGAGCCCCTGCCAGTGCAAAGAGCTGCAGCAGTACCCAGGGCCTCCGTCACAAACTCGGGGGCTCAAAATTGAAGTGGTCGTTTGGGGTTAAAACCGCCAAAGCCAGTAGCACACATAGTTTGTGGGTCTCAAACTGGGCTCAAAAATGGACCTTGTGCCTTTAAGGCGGGCATGGGGACCCCAACAGTACAAACACACACACACAGACAGAGAGAGAGAGGCAGACGCAGACGCAGACACAGACGCAGACGCAGACGCAGACGCAGACAGTGACACAGACAGTGACACAGACAGTGACACAGACAGTGACACAGACACAGACACAGACACAGACACAGACACAGACACAGACACGGACACACACGCACACAGACACACAGACACACATCCGACTGAGGGGCAACAAATAAGCAAGCATACTGCTCCATTGACATCTGCAAGTTGCACACGATGCACGGTAGGAACGGAAAGCAAGTAAACACAAACAAAACAGCACAAAGCAAAGCAAAGCAAACCAAAGCAAACCAAAGCAAACCAAAGCAAACCAAAGCAAACCAAAGCAAAGCAAAAACAGCAAAAACAAGCAGGACATGCCGGATTTGATTGATGAAACAGGGACTTGTCGATGCAGAATGTAAACGAACACGCATGGAACGCGGGCACTTCAAACAATAAGCTGGGTTGGTTCTGTGTGCTGATGTCTTTTCAGGGACGGCTCGAAGAAACCTGAATGCCAGGTTTTATTTTGTCAAGTTCGGCGAATATTCTAACAAATCAGCCAAGTTTAGCGAGCCCTGCCGAACAACCGCCGAATCTGCGCCGCCTGCTTCACTCCCAAAATGAGATGTTCAGCCTACAGAATAAACTAGTTTCTCACTGCCTGAGTGGATGGCCCAAAAAAAGTCTAAACTTTAAATTTACCACCAAAATGGCCTTCCCCAAAAGTTTGAAGTTCATGAACTCAGGAAGTGAGGTTTGAGAGGAGACCAGGGAACCCCATGCGCAAGCAAGCGGCCCTTTTGGGCCCGGGCCAGGACACCACCAGCTTGAGGGCCCGCTCCCTCGCCGTGGGCGCGACGTATGCGAAGCTGCCGGTGACGTACATCCTCGCCCCGCGTTCCGATTCCCGGTGGCTTGGTGTTGACTTTCTGCCAGTTGTTCTTTTTGTTGCCTGCTGGACAAAATGGAGGAGCATCTTTCCAGTAGTTGTTGGTGTTGCTTCCGATTCCCTTTAAAACCCAAGCAGGGGAAAATGGAAAAAAACAACATGTGTCCCTTTCAGCCAATGGACGTTTGACTCCCAACCTCCAAGCGGAGCTCAGGACTCTCCCAGGGCCCTGGCTTCATCATGGCCGCCCGGGCCTCGCGGCCCTCCAGCTCGCTGTTCTGGAGATCCGGTCGGCCGAAAGCGCCGAGGGCTGGGGTGGGGGGTGGGGGTGGGTGGGTACGGGAGGGGCGTTCAAGAGGATCCCGATCTTTCGAAAAAATCTCCGGGAGCTTGCGAAAAGCTTGACTTTTTCGGGGGTCCGATGGAAATTCCCCTCTATTCCAACCAAAACGTCAAAGTGCAAAGATCCAGCCAAATAGCCATATGGCTGTGGGTCAAAAATATGTACCCAAAATGGCTTGCCCTGGTAAATGGAAACTTGGACTACAACCTGCGGTCCGATTCCTGGTGTTTTAATTTTGACCCACACCCACAAAGCCAAGGAGCCCATCTTAGATCTCCCCTCTAGGCTGGAATTAGGACCCCAGCACAAAACATATATAGTTTTGCCTGGTTGGTGGAAAACAAATGACACAGGGACCCCAAGAAAGCAAAAGAAGCAAAAAGGGAGCTAATTCTGGGGAAGCCCCAAGAAGCAGAAGACTTCCACACCTGCTGCGTGAGGCGCCAATGCTGCGGGGCGCGGCTGGGCTGAAACCTGCCGAAGCCGTGTCCGACTCTCGCCCTTGGCGCGGCCTTTCTCCGGCAAAAAACAAAAAAAGCCGGATCCGGACTGCCCAGCTCTGGGCCCTAAAATGGTCTGTGGGTGGTTCTTTTGTCCAGGTGTTCGATATGAGAACAATGAACATCTCACAAACAAATCCGACGAGAGGTTAGGGAAAGGACAGAAAACATGGTTGACTGTTGAAACTGGGTGGATGTCTTTGCCAGAGATCCTTCTTTTGCGGAAACAGCTCACAAAAGCGGGCAGGGGCTTAAGGAGACGCACGCGCAAACAGACACAGCATAGCCCCCCATAGCCGCCCAAACACGGCTTCGTGCACAAACGAAACGCTTCCAGAAGGGGACTCTGCACCAACTGTTTGTTTCTGGGCGAGAGGGGGGGGGATTTGCGCCTTGCGCTTGCTTCTCAAGCCAACTTGGACCCGAAAAGGTCACCTAGGAGATAACTTGGGCAAGCTGCGAGGGGGAATTCACCACCCTCACAAACAAACACGGCACCTCCAGGGGACCCCATGTTTTTCTAGGGACCTGCTTTTGAGAGGGAGGGCAAGGAGACATGCGCGGACAACACGATCAAGATCACCAAGGTTTCCCCAAGAGGCCATGGGAAAATTACTCAGTGCCCCTGTTTTTGCAGAAAATTAAGGCGATGTCCTTTTGTGAATCTCAAATGACCCATAGACCCGACCAAACCTATGGGTGTGTCCCTATAGCGGGAAACTCGAGGGAACTCTGAAACATATTTTCACAAGTTGGCACCGCGGTTGGTTTTCAGAGGAAGCCAAACCAACCCAGTGGGGAATACCCTGGTGCATCTTGCCCAAGAGACTCCAGCTAGCAGCGGACGGACTATCTACGCATGTCCTGTGCGTACTTTGTCACCAAGGGCCCTCTGAGTCTCACAATGGGCCAATGCCTCAAATCCTACAAACACGAAATCCGCTCTCAAGGACCCCCGCAATCCGGTGGTTTGGCCTGGGTTCGGCCTCTAATGGATCGAACTTCAAGTGTGTTGGCTGCAACACACCTGGTGAAAGTGACAAGCCCACGCGCGAATTCCGCAGAATAACGGCCCGTCACAAACCTGGGCAACCCTATTGAGCGCAAATTATTGGGTACCTTCGCACGAGAGGAAAGACAACTCGAAAGAAGCCGTCAACCAGCGGACAACGATTTGGATGAGGGAGACCTAAGAGAACCAAAAGATACCAGCCAGTTGTAGTCCATTGGTCAGGTCGTCCTTGTAGGTCTCCCTTGCGCAACATGGATGGGCTTCTCATTTCAGGTCTCAGGCAACCTTCAGCTCATGGTTTGGATTGGTGGATTTGGAGATTTGAACCCCTGGTTCTGGATCGGGTTACTGGGAACCCTTCCCCTTTGTTGCCACCAAGCCCCAGGCTTCAAGCCACCAACTTGAGGGGAGCTGAAAGGGCAATAGACCTCCCGGACTGCCCATCACCTTCAGCCCGTGGCTCCAACGGTCTGCCTGGGATCCGGCCTGGCGGTCATCAGCCTGCCACATCCCAAGCTGCGAGCTGCGATCCCGTCTGGGTGCTGTTCGTCGCTTTTCCGAGAAAAAAGATCCGGCCAGCTGGGCTGCTAGGCTGGCTGTTGGGTTGTTGGTGGCGCGTGTGCTTTCCTTGTCAGCTCCGGTCGGCAGTTTCAAAAGGAGGTTCCTGCGTCCGTCCCAGAAAGGAACAAAAACAACAAGCAAGCAAGTTGCACGAAAGGAAACTCCGGCCACGTTCTGCGGGGGCCAGAACCGCCGGGAAGTACGAGGACCCCTGTGCGCAAATACCATCGAACACCCCCGGACCGGGGAGAATCCAAATCCGTCCTGGTGCCTCTTCCAGCAGCGTCAGGCACCATCACCTCGCATCAGATGCTCGGTGCCCTTTTTGGCGGAGGGAAGACGAAGGGAAATTCACAGGGGAGGGGTCCCCGATTTTTTGAGACAAACCCAGCTGGGTGCCTGGGTTGTTTAAGCAAAACAACCACGACTGTATCACTTTTGAGGGGCTCCCTTAACGGAAATTGTGCTCCGAAAGCCAGGTCCTCCACAGTCCGTCTCGCTTCAAAATGACCCGCGCGAAACGGACCCAAAGGCGAATTGGAGAACCTCGAAATGCGGCACCTCCCAAGGGCAGGGAACTTCCATTGGATTGCAAGCTGCAGATGTTGACGGCCCTGAAACCTCCGACTTAGCTTTGACAGCGCTCTGTGCAGATGTAGGTGTGGGCATGAACGCATCTTCCGTCCGTGGTGTTTGCGTTGCGAGCTTCAGAACTTGTGAGCCTTGACAGCTCCCAAAACTCCGGCGAGCAATGCCCAAACAGCCCAGTTGTAGGCCTGCCCAGGCGAACGCGCGCCCTCCTCATCGAAGGCGCACGTCCTCAAAGCACAGTGTCCGACAGGAACAACGGGAACCATGTTGCCCAAGTGAAGGACTTCCTACAAGGGTTGCACCCCCCCAACCATTTACCCCATCTCTCAGGGACCCTGGAAGATGAGGGTGGGATGACAATTCTCAATGGGAGCCCGCATGAACCCAAAAGAAGACAGGTTCCCACTGAGCTTGGACCGGTACAGATCTCAACCAGTCAGGGGCCACAACTTCCTGTGAGTTTACAGGGTTAAGAACACGACCTGGAACAAACGATCAACCTGTTGCCGTGTATCTAAGTCTGGAAAAAACACTTGGCCTGCTTGGGCCTGTGCTAGGATGATGAGGAAGCTTGCCAACGAAAGTAAGAAGTTTACCAGCTGGTATCAACTCGGTGGGAGCCAGCAAGAAACCTGATGATAATCTGGATGGGTCGTTAAAAACTCTCAGCTCGCGGAACAGGCTCGACGTTGAAAGCTCTCGACTGTCGGGTAAGGCCTTCCCTTTTGACCCCCTCTTGAGA